GAGGAGGAGGAGGAGGAGGAACAGTTCACTGAAGTCCTGGGAACCTAAAACCTGTCTAACATGGCCTTCATGATTGCTCAATGAGTTTTCTATGACTGCACAATATGTAAATGTCCGTGTTTGTGAGGTGTAAGTGTATAACTACATGCATGTAAGACATTGGACATTTACATGTTATATATATTTTTTGTTGTATTAAAATAAAGAACCTGGAAAAGCATCTGTGTTTGCCTTTGAATGAAAGACAGGAAAATTGTTTTGGTGGAAAAGAGTCATAAATAAGACATGACATTTCTCAAAGGGGTCTTGGCCTGCCTTGACGTCGGGCTGCTGCCTTTCAAGATGTTAATAACCATAGTGCTCCTGAAAGCTGAACTTCCCTTACCTTTCTGCAAAACACAGACATGCACGAAATAAACCTAACAGTGATCACGTTTCAAAGTTTCCTCCACTCCTTCTCAGCCGTCTAAACAACCGAGGGCTTAAAGATGCCTGTCTACATTAACAGGATCAATCGGGTTAATTCCAACTTTCGTCTTATTTTCGTAATTTTGTACATAATTTCTCTTAGTCTGATACACTCACTATAAAGTTCTGAGATTTGGGAACATGGCAACATTGCGGCCACAAAGCCTAATGAGGCAAGAAACACGAGCAGTCAGATGATTAGATAAATTGTAAGCAAGTTTAGCCAGATGATATAGTCTAATTTTTCTATTTTTTTCAAATAGAAAATTATGTTGGTAATAATTCCTCCTTGCACAGGAAAACAGTGTGCATGGACAACCATGGGAACAAGGAACTTCCCCCTCCCACTGGTTACCGGTTAGGTTATGGTTCGCCATCGTAGAGGTAACTGGTTGTGGTTAAGATCACTTGTTGGGGTTAAGGCTAAGGTTAGGTTCAGATTAAGGTGAGGAGAAACCAAATCCAAAGGACAACACACTTCGGCACAACACAGGAAATGATTCCTTAAACCTGCATTTGCTCTTTATCCAGCCATAGGCAGCGCGGCAAGCTGTGAAAACATCACAGACACATGTATTATCACCTTATAAAGTTTATATGGGAAACATGTTAGCAAACAATTGCTTATTTACAAATTGAGCAGATAAGAAACAACATCAGCATTCATCAGAAGTTGTTTCATGCCAATTATTGATTGTAAGTCCAATATTCACTCCTATTTTAGCTCTGTTTTGGTCTTCACCAACTCCTGATGGAAATATCTGCCTGTGTCACTTTTTACTGTTTTTTCAATAAAATAGCTGCTAAAAACAATGCTGATAGAAGCATTAGGAACCAGAACAGCAAAAAAGAAAAGGAACGTGACTTGAAAAGATTCTAAATAGCTTCCTGGAGCTCAGGGGAACTGTGGAGTGGGTGATAATTCTTTCACTCCACTACAAGCGACCCCTTCCACATTATGCATTATAATTTGATCCCAGTGTTAATAAAATATTAATTCAAGCTGCTTTAAATCCCTCTATACTTTTGATACCCCTCTTAAGAATGGCAGTGGATCAAGCTTTCCAAACCATCATGGCTAGCAGCAACTGGTCCCTGGGTCAAAGTTCATCATGGGTCCAATAGTGTCAGTGGTTTCAGATGACCAAACACCAGCTCCTCTCCATGACCTCTCCTTATGAGGTCATTTGGCTGAGACGAAGGATGTCCTGCTTTGACCCAATGATAACAGCCGTTCAAACAGAACCCTGACACACGACTGCGTGATGGACAGCACACTGACTAATGGTAAACAGATTGCGATGTACTGGGGTGACTGTGTGTTTTTTTATCCTCTCACTCATCTGTGACTCATCCACCCTGCTCTGAACAAATGCACTGCAGAGCTGTCAGCTCCACAAGTGTTTTATAACCCCTCTCCGGTCTCTCTTTATAAGTCTCGCTGTCATGTTGACATCATTCGCTGCACAAAGAATCTTCTGTCCGTATATTGTTCTCAAATTCAGGCTCAAAACAAGCATAATATCCTGTTTTTATGCAGTTTTCATCGTCGCTCCCTTCAGACAAATGTCAATGATGAAGCGCACACTCCATTGTTGTGATAAACCAGCGCACTGCTGGTGTTAATTCTCAATCAGTGAATTTGACTCAATCACACTCTACTGAATGCCACTCTCCCATGTCTCTCACCCTTTCAGAAAAAGGCACAATCAGACACAGCAATCAGTCACAGCATGGCACTGCCAAACCCCATCGGCAGTCATTTGGATTGCATTAGAATTGGTTGACCTGAGACACAGCTGGAAGTCAGAGGTTACTTATCATATCTTTGGACAGAGAGATGGTTCAGGAAAAGTACCTGGAGTGGTGAGTAGGATTATGCAGACCCCTTGCAGAGAACAGTGCTCCTTTGCTTTTTACTGATTTTGGGGACCCTTTAAAAAACACTTCCCAGAATGCAAAGTAGTCACTACTATCAGACATGTGATATGTGACTGCTTGTGAATTGCATTGTTATTGTCATAACATTGCATTGCAAGCAGTTCTAAAAATACACGTGACGCAGAAGATATCATTTGCACTTCATTTATTTGTATCACATCACTCTGACATATATAAAACATACACAGATTAGAGAAGAAGGTGGTAAATTGAGATTAGTGACAGTGATACAAAATGTAACACAACATATTTTGTGGAGTACATTAATGCATTAAAAATCCATGTTCAACCTTATATTTTAAACATGACAAATTACCTGTTTTAACAAACAGAATAGCATATACGTTTAGCTGACTTCCACAAGAAGCATAGTAAAACTTAGCCCTGGCTCTGGTCACTCATATACACATGTATATATCCACAAGATGTGGTTTCACTGAAGTGCAAAATATGACTTTTTTTGCACATACATCACAGACACAAGGCTTTAAAAAAAAAAAAGTGTATTACCTTACACTTACATTCAAGCAGAGGCAGTTTAGCATCCTCTGACACAGTACTCACTAGGCTATTGAGGAGATAAGGAGTGTATTGAGCATATGAACAAAGAGGGGCGAATAAAAAAAGCCAGACTGATGGTGGTGGGAGGATCAGCAGGGTAGAAGTTAAGACTCCTGCAGTGCTTGCTTTCACAGATGCAGATTGATGAGAGACGGGGACAAAAAGCCAAAGGTTACCGCTGGTTACAGCTCCCCTGCAACCGTTCTCCTCAGACAAGAGGATTTTCAAAAAAGTTCCTGTAGCAATCTGACAACTAAGACACCGGAGATACATTTGTTTCTGATTTGTCACAAACAAACTATCCTGCTGTTTTTCTTTCTCACAGATGTTAAATTGGTTAATAAAATCCAAATTAAAAACACAAGTGTCAGGGTGATAAGCTTTTCAGTGGAATAACTTGAAGGCCAGAGAATACCAACCCAAACCAGCCAGGGGAGCTTTCACACACAGGTAAGAATGCGGCAGCTCACACTGCAACCTGAACTTACAGCTGCCGCATATAAATAGGCTGATGTAGGCAGACGGAAAGAAAACAACAGAGAAACTGCTAACGCCCATCTGCTCAAAAGCAGCCCTGATACTTTCTGTTTCTCTCTGTCTTACTTAAAAGGCTGCAGCTGGTAGCGAAGCACACCATGCAAATTCACAACATTTACATGATGGCCTGGACTTTCTCTCTGCGGCTGTACGTTAAGCAAGTTAACTTGATATGTTCACCTCCCTTAAAGTCCTTTCTCTCTCACCAGTGATGTATTCACATGGAAGCGTAGACACTTTGATTGTACTATGTGAGATATCTTTTTTCTATAGACCTTGAACAATCTAACATTTGAATATAATGTAATCAACACTGCAGTTCTGAGTCTGTCTGCTGGGGGTGCCAAACCAGACCCCGGCTCAGAATGACCCAGAATCCTCTCGGCTGTCTCCACAGATGTTAGTTTCCAATGCTCATTGTGCTCATGTCTTGTTTCCCTTGCACCATTTGGAATCCCAGAGTAAAACAAGCCAAATACGTAACAGGGAAGGATGCTTAACTGCCACAGATCGGAGCTGTGACATCAAGCAACAGTTTTGAAGATTTAAATAAATTAAAAGTTTTGTCCACAACCCACAGGGTTAACAGTCTGTTCATGAGGTCAGATGAAGCAGAAGAACTTCTTCCAGCTACACCTGGAGAAAGCTTTCGTACGCCTGTCAGAAAACCTTCTCTTCTTGGACTTGCGGGCTTTGTTTTTAATGGCGGCGAAGATGGCTGCGTCAAACGCCTCCTTCAAGTTCTTTTGCGTGAGTGACGAACACTCTATGTAGTCTGCAGCCCTGATCTTCTCGGCCATGCTCCGGGCCCGGGAGCTCAGAATTGGCTTGACATTAGATCTATCCAGGTTGATGAGGACATTCACATCCAGTAAGAGGTCCGACTGAGTTCCAACAAGGACGATGGGTGCGGACGGGTTATGAGCCCTGATCTCTGAAACCCACTTCTTGGTGATGTTGTGAAACGAGGTTGGGTTGACCATGCTGAAGCACAGGAGAAAGACGTCCGTGTGGGCATAGGACAGAGCCCTGAATTCATCAAACTCTTCCTGAACGGAACAAAAGTACAGAAAGCACAGGTTAGTGTCAATCATATCAAATATGTACAGACATGATACAGAAGAAAGTAAAAGAGGCTGACTCATTTAAGCAACAGGAAAAGATCATCCATTAACATTCAGGGTGAAAACTTGTAACTGAGTCACATATTGGATGTTGCAATGATGTGGCAGTTTCAGCTTCATAGTTCATCAATCATACATTATAAAATCAGTATATTATATTAAGGATGGGGATTTGATGTCATTTTTTTAATGCATCAGTTAAATTGAGACAATTAACTCAACATGAGTTCATTTGGGACAACAAATTAAATACTAAAAAACAAACAAAGAAACAAACTAATAGTCTTACCTGTCCAGCAGTGTCCAGAAGCTGAACTTTGACCGGAGATCCTTCTACTTGGACCTGGCCTGTTGGAAATCAATAACAGGAATCAGTCAGTATCAATTCAGAAATTGATTTAAAACATTCCACACATGAAATGTACACACACATAGCACACAACATGCATGCATATATTAAAACGGCTACATAGGCTACAAGTTAAGCTCTTTCAAATTGTATCAGTCAGTAAACACACTAAAATTAGATTAGCATATTCAGACATATATAGCAATGAATTGTACGGCATATGAACTTAAATCAAACTATATAACCTCCCTACTAAAGCAAACCAAACACGGAGTGACTGTGTTATTATTATATTAATTAAAAGTCATCTCAGAAGAATGATGGAAAGAGTAATAATAAAAGTTCATGATCTCTTACCGGAGAAGACGTCAAACCCAGTCTGCTGGTATTCTGTTGGGTATCCATTGGAGGTGTAGCTGACAATCATGCTGGTTTTCCCGACGGCTCCGTCTCCGACCAGCATACAGCTGATCACACCGGGCTCCAGCTCATCCTCCCGGGTCAGCCCGCAAGCGGAAGGGACTCGGGACTCGTGGTAAAAGTAATCCATGTGAGGTGGCATGTCGAGCAGCGCATTCAACTTTTAAACGCAGACTCTCCTCCTGTCGGCTCTGTGGTGGGACTATACTGTGTCAGCTGAGCGCTCTGTGTCTCACATAGCGCCACGGCTGCCTGTCCTGTTCTGACTGACGGGAGACATGTGTGGGGAGGGATGTTTGTAGGGCCAGTTGGTTAGACAGGTTGTGATTTGCATAGACACTCCCACCGAGAAGAGAAAGAAACAGAGGATAGATAGATAGATAGATATATAATAATTTATAATTTATATATTTTCATATATAAATATATGAAAAAATGTGTACATTCTTTCTGTTTTTAAAATGAAAATTATATAGGCTACATTTTGCGCAGCAATATGTTGAATGTGCAAAAGTTCACAGTATGATGTAGAAGGTAAATGTAAGACAATGAGATAAAGTCATTGTTTAATAAAGCTTAACGACTATTGATTAGGGAAGTAATTGGGGGAATAAAGGCCTATACATAGCCTTTACAGTAAACAGAATAACATTATAGTGCACTAAAACAATACTGAGTGAAAAAAGCATTGTCACACACCTAACAGGAGTTTTTGTTTTGTTTTGTTTTCAAACGTCTCGAAACCAATCACTCCAATCTCGGACCATTGGTTTGGATCAACCGCGCCCCCCAGTGCCAAAAGCAAGAACTACAACCAATATGATCACATGATTGTATGTGTCACCTGATTCTCCGGGTCCACCCTGTGTTGTGAAGTCAGAAGCTAAGCTAGCTGTTATGACAGCACGAATGATTGAAACTGAATATATCCTTATGCTTTCTGCAGCGTGACTTATTATATTCTACTCATTGCTCCTCGGTTCAGACGCATGCGTAGAGAGGAAGTACGCTTGCGTGCCCTTAACGGGTGGGAGTCGTGATAGCCAGCTAGCTGTGTAGCCATGTCGTCTTAGGGCTGTTTCTTCGCCATTCTTTTCTTCTGTACAGAATTGCTTTACAGGTAGTGAAACAAGGTACAGTCAACCATGGCTTCAATCCTCGACGAGTACGAGGACTCGCAAAACACCAGGCAAAGTGCGCAGCAGCACAGCCGCTTGTCAACCGCCAACATCGGGATAACACATTCAGGTGGGTCGCCCTCCTCTCCGGGTGTGCTCCGTCCGCGGGGATATTAACAGCGTTATTATTGCTATTAAGGAATGTTAAAGCACGCACTTAAAAACACTGAAGTCACTTTGTTGGCTCAAGGCTTTCTCTGACATTACGTTGTGCTTGTATTGCGGCAGGCTTTGTTAATGTGAGACTTGAGGAAGAGAGGCCGATATTCAACAAGCAGAGGATCGATTTTACTCCGCCTGAGAAGATAAACCATCTTTCAGTCTGCAACAATCAGCTGTGCATGAGTCTGGGAAAGGACACCCTGCTGAGGCAAGTGGCACTGTCAGAAGCATTTGAAACACCGTTAATGGTCACCAGGGTTTGTATGGTTTTGATTGGATTAACTTGAGTTAATGGCTGCTCTTCACGATGATTAGTACTCCTCTATTACTAGCTGTGATTGTTTATTGGTGCCTCTAAAAGAGTTGTTAATGCAGCTCTTTTAGAAGCTGCTTGCTTGGTATCAGGGGATGCTGGTACTAATGTTTCATTTTCTGTTCCATGCAGGATTGACTTGGCCAAGCCAGATCAGCCGAATCAGATTGAATTAGGAAGAAAGGATGAAAGTAAAGTGCACAGACTGTTCCTGGACCCCACTGGTGAGAAAACACAATGCTTATTCACATTGTCCTTTAAAACATCGCTCATAGGCAGCTAATTTACATAGATGGTTTTGATGTGACTTCTGACTGCAAATTTGCTTCAGGCTTTTTAAAATGTATACCGGTTGCATTCATTAACCAGAGGAATGAATATAATGGATTTTCTGTAGTAACTCATGAGGTACAACATAGGACTATTGGCAGCCACAAACGAATGCCTAGCATGGCTGTCTCAGCAACTTTTGAAGCCCTCAAATCAACAAATCATCTATAAATAATTTATAAGATCCCTGTATCAGTGTCATGGTTATGACTTATTAACAGCAGCAGCTATATCCTCCTCCATATTTTCCCCCCGCAGGCTCCCATCTGCTGATCAGCCTGAGCACCAGCGAGTGTTTGTACCTCAACAGGAACACGCAGAAGGTGCGCAGTCTGTCCCGCTGGAGAGGCCACCTCATTGAGAGCGTAGGCTGGAACAAGCTGCTGGGCAATGAGACCAACACAGGACCCATCCTGGTTGGCACAAGTCAAGGCATCATCTTTGAGGCTGAGATCTCTGCAACTGAGGGCAGCCTGTTCAACACCAATCCGGATCAGTACTTCAGACAGGTCAGACCATGCGTGGTTATGCGTTATGTATTACAGGTTTTATTCCTGTTGCATGGCGTGCTAATAAACAATGACGTATTCTCTTCCTGACACAGGTCCACTCCCTCGAGGAAGATGGGAGGCCTGCTCCAGTCTGCTGCCTCGAAGTGGAGCGTGGCCTGGAGAACAAGTACTTCATCATCGCCACCACCCGCAAACGCCTGTTCCAGTTTGTGGGTAAGGTGGCCGAGGGGTCAGAGCAGCAAGGCTTCAGCTCCATTTTCAGCCAGAACCAGGACCTGCTGCCCAGTTTCCAGGAGTTCCCAGCGAATATGGGCTACAGCGAGATCACCTTCTACACCTCGAAGCTTCGCACTTCCCCTAAAGCGTTCGCCTGGATGATGGGTAATGGAGTTCTTTATGGTCAGCTGGACTATGTCAGGCCTGATTCCCTGCTGAGTGATGTGCAGGTAAATGTCTGTGTTTGTGTGAGAATATTTTTCTCAATAATGTTAACTTCTACCCACATTCACCTTTGCGCTCTTTAACTTTATGTTTTACATACATTTGTCTCTTATTTCCTCCGTCACATTAAAACAGGTATGGGAGTACACCCCTGACATTGACCTCAGTGACAACAAGCCTATCTCCATTGTGCTGACACAGTTCCACTTCCTTATGCTGCTCCATGACCGAGTTAAGGCCATCTGCACTCTGAATGGACAGGTGGTGTATGAGGATGTGTTCCCAGATAAATTTGGCACCCTTAAGAAGATGATCAAGGACCCATTTGGTGGGTTGGTGTGGATCTACACTGAGCGGGCAGTTTTCCGGTACCACGTCCAGCGCGAGGCAAGGGACGTCTGGCAGATGTACATGAGCATGAATAAATTTGATCTAGCCAAGGAGTACTGCCGCGACCGGCCTGAATGCATGGACATGGTGCTGGCCAAGGAGGCTGAACACTGCTTCCAGAACAAACGATACCTTGAGAGTGCCAAGTGCTATGCGCTGACACAGAATTACTTTGAAGAGATAGCGCTCAAGTTTATTGAAGCCAAACAAGAGGAAGCCCTAAAGGAGTTCTTACTGAAGAAACTGCATAATCTGAAGCAGAGTGAGAGAACGCAGATCACCTTGCTGGTCACCTGGCTGGCCGAGCTCTACCTGAACCGGCTCGGCCAGCTGGAAAGTGATGGTAACAGCATCATCTTCCAGGAGACCCGCGACGAGTTTCGCCAGTTCCTCAGCAACTCCAAGCACAAGGAGTGCCTGTTCAACAACCGCAGCACCATCTACGACCTGCTGGCCAGCCACGGCAACGTGGAAGACATGGTTTACTTCTCAGTTGTCATGCAGGACTACGAGAGAGTGATATCCCACTACTGCCAGCATGACGAGTACAGCGCTGCTCTGGACGTGCTCTCCAAGCACTGTGATCAGAAGCTATTTTACAAGTTCTCCCCCGTCCTCATGCAGCATATTCCCAAAAAAGTGGTAGACGCGTGGATTCAGATGGGCAAGCGGCTGGACCCAAAGAAGCTCATCCCAGCTCTGATGAACTACAGCCAGATGGGCAGCACCCAGCAGATCAGTGAAACCATCCGCTACATGGAGTTCTGTGTGTACGAGCTGACTGTGACAGAGGAGGCCATCCATAACTACCTGCTGTCGCTCTACGCCAAGTATAAGCCGGACTCTCTGCTGTGGTATCTGGAGCAGGCAGGTATGCACGCCTCAGATATCCACTATGACTTGAAGTACGCTCTCAGGCTGTGTGCAGAACACGGCTACCTCCAGGCCTGTGTACTGGTTTACAGGATTATGGAACTGTATGAGGAAGCAGTGGATCTTGCTTTACAAGTAAGTGAACGATGGATTTTGGATAGCATTTATGATGTATAATTATCCAGATTAATTCTGAATTCCTGCAAGTCTTTGACAGAATTTGACAACTAATTTGCAATATTTATGATCCACAGGTAGATGTGGATTTGGCCAAGTCCTGTGCAGACTTGCCTGAGGATGATGAGGAGCTGAGAAAAAAGCTTTGGCTGAAGATCGCCCGGCATGTGGTCCAGGAGGAGAAAGACGTGAAGAAAGCCATGAACTGTCTGTCCAGCTGCAACCTGCTCAAGATTGAAGACATTCTGCCATTCTTCCCAGACTTTGTCACCATTGACCATTTCAAGGTCTGTAGCAAAGTATTTATTTTAAACAGTAAATAAATAAATAATACATTAACGCTACTACTTTGTTTTCCTTCTTATTGACTGTGGAGGTGAACCTGTAGGTAATCTACAATTCTCTATTGATAGGATGGATTAAATTCTGTTCAGTAATGATGTATGTAATGTATCCTCAGTGTATTACTAACATACTAACACAAAATACAGTATATTGCTTCAAATGAATGTACTTCCTCTATTATCCTCTGTTTATTATGGTTTCTCAGGAGGCCATCTGCAACTCCCTGGAGGAGTACAACCAGCACATCGAGGAGCTGAAGCAAGAAATGGAGGAGGCCACTGAGAGCGCTAAACGCATCAGAGAAGACATCCAGGAAATGAGGAACAAATATGGGGTAGTGGATTCCCAAGAAAAGTGCGCTGCTTGTGACTTCCCATTGCTGAACAGGCCCTTCTATCTGTTCCTGTGTGGACACATGTTCCACTATGACTGCCTGTTCCAGGTAACTGCTTCCATACGGCTTACGGTCAACGTGTGCCACCTAAGATGTTCTTTTGTGTTTCAATAATTAGTAACTGTCTTATTAAAAATGATCATGTTTGAAACTAACTTTTAATGATAAGTTCCAAAGAAGCCTAAACAACTTTCATCTAGTAATAATTCCCACGTGTCCCCTTTTTTTCTACCATCTAGGAAGTGACCCCTCACCTGACGGTATATAAGCAGAGTCGCCTGGAGGAGTTGCAGAAAAAGCTGGCTGCAACCACGCAATCTTCCAAGTCACGCCACCGCCCGGTACCCAAGGACGAAGGAGACACTGCCAGCCTGGGAAAGGGCAATGCAGGCACGAGCCGCGAGCAGATCAAATCTGACATTGATGACATCATTGCGTCTGAATGCGTGTACTGCGGCGAACTGATGATCAAGTCCATCGACAAGCCTTTCATTGATCCACAGAAATTTGAGGAGGAGAAATCCAGCTGGCTATGAACGAGGCCTCCTCTTCTCTCAGTGTGAAAAAACATGACGGCCCGCCATCTGTATGTGAATGAAACAGCACCATCCGTAGGACTGACCCATTCAGTGGATACAAACATTCACCTGATTGCCTGTTGGTAGTGCCTACTGCTGAAAACTGTATCAGCTTCCGTTGTTCTCCACACAGTATACTTGTTTTGTTGGCAATATTTGAAATTAATTTAAAGACCTTTGCACTTAATATGGAAGCATTTAGTAAAAGGTGGACAACAATGATACAAGCGAATGTGGCGATGTTAACATATTGCCAGAGCTGTACAGTGCATACAATGTGCCTGAACCTCTGATTATAATGGTAGAAAATGATTCAAAAGCTGGAATCAGATATAACTGCACTATACATCTATTAACAACATTCGGTCATGCACTTGTTTTGTCTATTGGGAAAATTACCTGCACATAAATAATATTTGTGATTTCCTTAACTCAGTTCAACCACTCGACTCTACAGCTCTGTGTTTATGTAACAGTTAATGTAGGGCAGATCATCAAACTGTTATTTCATATATTCACTGTTTTGCAATTCAACTGTTGCACATTAAAGCTTGTCAGAAGTGATGGACTGATTATTCTGGTTGTCTATTATTTATATTTATTATATCTATTTTAACTATCAGCTGTACTGAGAGAAATGAATACTCTTAATCACATTTCTTCGGGAGAGTATCTACAGCTCCCTGGAGAGTGCAAAAAAAATCTATGAAAGAGACCATACTTATGCAGCATAAAAGAAAAAAGAAAGTATGGTTTGATTGTGAGCTGTGGAGATTTGGGGAGATTTGATCCCCACCAGCAGCATGATTGTGTATCACATAAACATGATCACTATAACTGTCAATACATTCATACATAAACACACGTATATATACACTTTTACACTTTCCTGGAGTTCCCTGTCAACACTTAAACATCAGAGACTAATTGTATAATTGCTGTGGATATCCAACTGCCTCACCATACCGAAAACGGAGTTCCCTTCTGGTGACGTAAGACGTAGCTCGGTAATCTTCGCGGTGAGCAGACACTATTAATCGACATCGGAAATTCATCGATATTTTTTTATTACTTGTACATTTACGGACCAAAACAGCACACACGGTAGACATGGGTCCTGCCTTCCTAAAAAAAGAAACCGCTTGGATTTCTTGTCACATTAATGTCCCCGGAGACATCGATGGGCGAGCTTCCCTTTATCTGCAATTGATTAAAACGCCTGCTCCTTGCTGTACCCTCGCCATGGCGTCGTGTCTCTGCTCTCTCAGTAACAGAAAGTGGCCGCCTCTCTGCTGTTGCTGCCGACTCAAAGCTCACAGACTCGGTCGGCGCCTGAAACCGCCATTTTGGAGTCAGAGAACCGAGAGTCGGCAGCAGCGAAGAGAGAGACGAAAAGGGGGACACGGGGCCGAGGTGAGAGACTCCATAGTGGTAGTTATGGCGAAGGAGCAATGGGGGAAGATGGCCGGGAGGGAGAAAGAATTAAAACATGGGGATCATTCGTTCACCAGGCAACCGAGTCCCCGCTCGTGTCCGCAACAAGGGTACGAGAGGCGCGGGCGGAGGGCCTTGCTGTCGCCGCACCGCGACTAGCCTGTTAAAGAACCGCTATTAAACCAATATCATATCTTAATACATTGTTTAGGTAGGGAGGTGGTGGCCTTAAAGAGACAGAGCCGATTTGAATACTTCATATTAATGGTGTGTGTGAGAGGACGTCTGTGTTTGATCTGCTAACGTCTATGTTGAAAAGCGACATTAGACAAGAGATAGCAAGGAGGCAGTCGCCTTGTACCAAAGGGCTGCATGTTCAGAAAACAACGAGCTACCAAAGCCAGTTGTTTTCTTTTAGGGTACTTGAACCAGTAAGCTGTCAGTGTGTGTAAAGCAGCACCTTCCTTGACCCTTTACTATCGTTGATCGGAGGCAATGCTGCTTGTGCTCACACAGCGAGGCAGCTAGCGGTCGTTAGCTGGCGAGCTACAACTCAGTGCTAGCAAACACTGGCTAACGCTAGCTTGGATTTGCTAGCCTGCTAATCATAACATAACGGCGCTGTAGAAAAGGGAGATAAATGGTATTAATAGTATTTAGGATAACGCGGCTGAAAGTTTGTCTTCGTTTTAAAACGGAAGTTGCGAGTCCTGCTTAGTTCTAGTACTTGTCATCCTCCCACACTTGAGGCCGTGAACTTGTCTCAGAAAGTCAAGTGAATATGTAATGAGTAGTAATTACAGAGGACCACGGATTAAAGTCCACAACATACAGTAGTCACTGTCTGAACAATCACATGCACAATCAACAACGACATTATCATCCATACTGCATTGTAATACTTGGCTAAGTTACATTTATAGCTGAATTGGTGAAGTCTGACTGATTTATATTGATATGATATAGATGATCTATTCCAACATTTTAATAAACTGAACTGACTGATATGGAAATAGTATGTTGTGTAATGGTATTGTGTGTTATACAAAGAAGATCCAGCCAGTACATTTCCCTTAATTGAGTATTTACATTATAAAACACAATTAAAT